ACCATCCCCCCTGGGGGGTGATTTCTCGCTTTTTGTCTCTAATGTCTCTCTCTGTCTGTCTGGCGAGCGCACGCGCCCTATAGTGAAAATCTCTTAAAAAAAAAAAAACTGTAGTCAGCCATATGAGAGTTCAGTGCCTCTACCACATCACCTGTCAGCCCCTTGCGTTATATTTTAAAAATAACATGTTCGGTATACTTTTCTTTAGCCATAAAATGCATTTTCAAGTGAAGTACTCTAAATTGTAGCCTTGGATTCAGTAGGTAATACATTGTAGTGCCTAAATCAAAAGTCTAGAATCTAGGGGATTTGGGGCCCTTGGTATTCATGTAGTCATAATTTTTTTTTTTTTTAAAGAGAGTTGTTTTTGGTATAGAGTGTGTGTACTCACCAGAGAGACAGAGAGAAAGTGAGAAGTCACTCCCCATTCCCAGGGGGTGGCCATGCCACAATCCCTTCTTCTCCGCTCTTCTCTGAATTTTGGGCATGCGTGCACATGTGCCTAGCATGAGTGTGAAGCCTCTGAGTCTGGGACTTGAGCCACAGTCAGCCATGTGGGAGTCCAGCGCCTTAACCACTACACTACCTGTTGACTCCCATATAGTTAAAAGTTTAAAGAGGAAAAAAGAGTCAGGAAAGGAATAGTTAATAGTTTTAGGTTAATGATTTAGGGAGGAGTAGGAGTTATTCTTTTAGAGGGTGTTCAAGGACACCCTCATTTAAAAACTAACATTTGCACTGAGTCCTGAAGATGGTGAGGCCAGGAAACCAGATAATTACTTATAGGAGGAGCATTCTAGGCACAGAACAGAAATTACAAAGCTGTTGAAGGAGCTTGTCTGGCATATTCAGTGAACTGAGTAGAGGCATTTTCACTGTCAGTAAAAGCCACTGCACAGTTTTAAGCAAGCTAAGGGTATGATCAGGCGTACATTTTTAAGAAAATTGCTCTGCCATGTTGAGAGTAGATGGGGCGAAGCAGAAGGGCCAGTTCGGTGTCTGCTGTGATAATCCAGTTGGAAAATGATGAGCGCACGGGCCAGGAAAGCAGTGCCGAGACAGTAAAAACTGGTCACGTACTGTTTCTATTTTAAAGGTAGAACCAATAGGACTGACTGACATATTTCAAGAGACAGGAACAAAAGCAGCACTCAGAACCACGAATGTCTATGCCTGCCCGTCCTATGGCGGTGCGACTCCTCTCAGCTTCATCTCTTCATTTCTCCCCCTTTCTTTCACTTGGGATAAATTCTGGAGGTGGAGCAATTCTATATAAAAATTGTAATGTAAGTTTTCTAGAGTGTAGAATTTTGGTTTATTGATGGTTTTCCTAGAAGCCTGTCCGTCCGTCCGTCCGTCCGTCCTTCCTTCCTTCCTTCCTTCCTTCTTTCCTTTTCTTTTCTTTTCTTTTCTTTTCTTTTCTTTTCTTTTCTTTTCTTTTCTTTTCTTTTCTTTTCTTTTCTTTTCTTTTCTTTTCTTTTCTTTTCTTTTCTTTCTTTCTTTCTTCTTTTCTTTTCTTTTCTTTTCTTTTCTTTTCTTTTCTTTTCTTTTCTTTTCTTTTCTTTTCTTTTCTTTTCTTTTCTTTTCTTTTCTTTTCTTTTCTTTTCTTTTCTTTTCTTTTCTTTTCTTTTCTTTTCTTTTCTTTTCTTTTCTTTTCTTTTCTTTTCTTTTCTTTTCTTTTCTTTTCTTTTCTTTTCTTTTCTTTTCTTTTCTTTTCTTTTCTTTTCTTTTCTTTTCTTTTCTTTTCTTTTCTTTTCTTTTCTTTTCTTTTCTTTTCTTTTCTTTTCTTTTCTTTTCTTTTCTTTTCTTTTCTTTTCTTTTCTTTTCTTTTCTTTTCTTTTCTTTTCTTTTCTTTTCTTTTCTTTTCTTTTCTTTTCTTTTCTTTTCTTTTCTTTTCTTTTCTTTTCTTTTCTTTTCTTTTCTTTTCTTTTCTTTTCTTTTCTTTTCTTTTCTTTTCTTTTCTTTTCTTTTCTTTTCTTTTCTTTCTTTCTTTCTTTCTTTCTTTCTTTCTTTCTTTCTTTCTTTCTTTCTTAGACAGAGCTTTTTGCTGTAGGGCACGTGTGCTTGCTGGAGACACAGAAACAGAGAGACAGAAAGTGAGAAATTACCTCTCCTGGGGGGATGACCACACCACAGCCCCTTCTCCTCCATTCTCTCAGGATTTTGGACATGCATGCACACGCACCTGGCATGAGTTTCAAGCCTCTGGGTCAGGACTTGACCTGTTGTCGGCCACGTGGGAGCTCAATGATGTAGCTGTTAGGCCATCTGCTGATCCCCATTATTTCTTGTTTTCTCGCTTTCTCTCACTCTCAGTGTCTCTCTTGCTCTCTGTCACACATACATGCACACATATGATTTACATGTATGACCAGAAAAAGATGAAGGACCCGTGGATATTAATAATGCTTATATGTGATTGGTGTACTATGGGTATTACAGATTTCCTTTTGACATTCTTATATATTTTTTTTGATGACTAGTTTTTAAACATTTTAAGAAGATAAATATTTTTTAAATAGGATAAGTCTATGGTTTTTATTTTAAAAGTAGTAAGTGGACACATAAAAATATCCAGAGTAGGCAAATCTATAAGGATAGAAAGCAAATTTGTAGTTGCAGGGGTTTGACAAAGAGGAGACCGGGGCTGGAGGGTAACTGCTGAGTGGATTCAGGGTTTTCTCTTGGGTGCTGAAAGTGTTGTATAACTAGCTAATGGTGGTCGCTGCACAACATTGTGAATGTGCTAAATGCTGCTGAACTGTACCTTTTTTTTTGTAGAGGTTTTCACTATCGAGCATGTGCGCTTGCCAGAAAGAGAGAGACAGAGAGACAGAAAGCGAGAAATCATCCCCCAGGGGGGATGGCCATGCCACAATCCCTTCTCCTCCATTCTCATTTCAGGATCTTGGGCACGCACGCACATGCACCTGGCATGAGTTTAAGCCACCAAGGCCAGGCCTCAAACCGCGGTCGTCTATGTGGGAGTCCAGCAACATAGCCATTACACCAACTCCTGGCCCTGTGAACTGTACACTTTAAAATGGTTCAAACTTAATGTTAAGTTAGATGTTTTGAACTGTAATATTAAGAATACTTTGGAAAATACTGTAAAGTAGGGAAGAAAAGCCCCTCGCGTGCTGCTACTTAAAGGTACCACAGTTAAGATCGTCAGTAATACTGCGTGTACCCGGTTTTGCTTTAGGCATATGCCGTCATTTCGTAAGCTGCCATAACAACTCACCACCACCTGGGTGGCTTCAAACAACAGAAATTTTTTCACGGCCTTTCACCACGGTACAGGCAGTAGGGGTGCTGCTGTGTGATGCTGGAGGCCGTGTGGGAAGACTCCAGGTTCAGACTAGGTTCTGTCAGGGACACTGGGTATGCCCAATGGTGTGCCTATGATTCTGGCTGGCTCCTTTCCTCCATCTACCTCTGCCAATGCTCTTTCGTATTGAAGGAATAAGATTAAGTTTAAAAAAAGTGGGAGCAACAGGTAGCATAGTGCATCCACTATATGGCAAAACTAAAATAATTTATTCATTCACAATTCTGGAGGTAAAAAATATGAAATCCCATTGTCTGTAGGAGTCGCTTTCTTCTGGAAGTTCCAAGGGTTACCCCGTCCCATGCCTGTCCTGTCTTACAGTGCTCACCAGCAGTCCTTGCCCTGCGGATAGATCACTGCAGTCTCTGCCTTTATCTCCACAGAGAAGGGCCTGCTCCACTCCAGTGCGACCCATTTACCTTATCTATCTAACGACATCTGCAAAGACCCTATATCAAATAAGGGTGCACTCTGAGGTCCTGGATGAACATAAATTTTATGGGAACTCTATTCAAATGCAGTACAGCATATTTTCTCTCTTTCTTTTTTTCCTTAATTGCCAGTGGGCACATGTGCTTGCCAGAGAGAGATGAGAGGGGGAGAGAGAAAGCATCACCACAGTGGGGCATGGTCATGTCACAGTTCCTACTCCTCCATTTCTTCATCTTGTTGGGACTTTGGGCATGCATAGACACATGCTGGTATGTTTTCAAGCCACTGTAGCCAGGATCAGTCCGTGGTCAGCCACATAGGATCTGGCTTACATAACCCCTAGACTGAAAGGCTGGTCTTTTCAGCATGTTTTGATTATTGTGTGTGTGTGTGTGTGTGTGTGTGTGTGTGCATGTGTGCAGTTTCCCATACCTATATTTTCCTTTTTCATAAATGGAGTATCATTTTAATGATTTGGTATTTCATCAAGTAACTAATTCACTAAACATTTTTTATGCCATTGGACATTTAGTATACTAGTAGTTGTGGCCCAGTTGTGAACAATTATGATAGATTTCTGAAAGTGAAATTACTAGAATAAGCATACGAGTTTCAGCAGACACTTAATGTGATATCTAACTTTTTCTTTTTTTCTTTTTCTTTTCTTTTTTGGAGAGATTTTCACTGTAGGGCGCGTGCGCTCGCCAGACAGAGAGAGACAGAAAGCGAGAAATCACCTCCCGGGGGGATGGTCACGCCACAGTCCCTTCTTCTCCATTCTCCTCTCGGGATCTTGGGCACTCACAGTCGCCCGGCGTGAGTTTTAAGCCACCGGGTCCAGGACGCGAACCGCGGTCAACTACGTGGGAGTCCAGCGACATAGCCATTACGCTAACTGCTGGTTCCCTCTAACTTTTTCTTCATCATGTTCTTGAATACTGCTTGACTATAAATTCATAGTATTAACTTCTATCTTTAATGGTCTGTTAAAGTAAAACATTATTCACACAGCTTTTATGGGATTACCTTAGATTAGATCAGTATCATCTGACCAAATTTTTTGCATGATTGTTAACTCAGATATTTATATGTTACTATCTTTTATTTCTAATTGAAGTAGATCAGCATTATGAGAGATGAATTATAAATATTTATAAACTAATTCCAGTGATAATATTGGAATTATAGTAGATATGCGTATGTACCTATGAGTATCTTTTCTTTTTCTCTATGCCAGCATGGATGTGTTTCAGAGATTGAGTCCAGATTCAACTCCATCTACTTCAAAAATAGCATCATTTGAAGAAGCATTTATACATCTTCAAAAGCTAATGGCAGCGGTGAAGGATATTCTTGAAGGAATTCAGAGGTAAACATTCTATTAATTAAAAATTATTTGCTTATTTTAATTTCACTAGAGAGGGACAGAGTGAAAGAAAAGTAAAAAAGCAAGCTGCCAGGTCCGGTACTCAAATCGCAATCGACCATGTGGGAATCCAGTGCCTTTAACCACCATGCCACCTGTCGGCTCAAGATGTAAGTTGTCATTTGAAAAGCATAGTCCCCTATGGATTCTGCTGGGGACAGGATTTGAACCAGTCAACTGTGTAGGATCTTTCACCCTTAACCATTGTGCTATCGGACCAGCTCTGGAAGCAGCTATTTATTAGAATAACAGCTTTCATTTCCAGAGTTCTTCTGGAATGAAATGGTCTTTTCTCATCTAGGTGGTAGTCCCCATGTTCTTGCATATCCTCAGAATATTTTACATCTGTTGGTAGCAGTCATGGTTTGTTAGAATTTGGCTCCACTTTTAATACATTTACAATAATGAAGAGAAATTGAACATTTTATTTTAGGTATATAGGTTTTTCCTCTTGATCTTAAATTATCTAGGACTAAGTAGAAAAGACTGACCATTTCTGTGGGTGACATGTAGGAAGAGTACAATTCTCAAAAAGCCTGAACTGAATATTCATTTAGTTCCTAGTTGTTTAGGTACAGGTGTTCATTGAGATACTTTTTTCAAGATGAGAGATACAGTGATGATGATGATTAACATTTTTTAGCCAAGAATTGTTCAAAATATATTACAAATATTAACTCACTTAATCTTAACACTTAACAGTCCTAATAGTACTGTTGTTGTCCCTGTCCTACAAACGTGCAATGGAGGCACTGAGAGGGAAGGTAACAGGTTTAACAGCTCACCTGGAGTGGTGGAACTCAGATTTGACTCTGACAGACTGACTCTGGAGAAATTCTCATCACACCATTGTATTATTATGTTTAAATGCCAGTGTAGAAAATGCAGTAAAGGAAGAGAGCCGGGGTCCAGCCTCTGGGTGGGTTATCTCGACGGAGGCGGCGAAGGTGAATAGAAGACAGAGGCCTCGATGCTTTCATGCACGTCCTATGCCGGACACACCTCAAAGATCGCTCTCTGAGGAGTGGCACCTGCTAGGAATTATTTTGCCTTTTTATTGAAAATGTGATACATGCAAGTAAATGGATGAGGGGCAGTAAAAGATTTACTCTAAGGAACAGGGTATACAAAGCATGGAAGCAATAATTATAAAACATGCTGTTTGTCTTGTTAGCTCAGGCAAAGTCAATCACAGTTCTCAGGATGAGGAAGTCCATTTGTCTGCTGTATCTTCTTCTTGAATCTTGATTACTGGGAAGAGTCTTTTGAAGAGGG